ATTATATTTTGTGACTTTTTCAGAACTTAAAGAATTATATTCAATTTGATATGACAATAACCTCCTATTTTGCTTAACTGCCTGCTTAGTAAAGTGCCTGTCATATAGTAGGCACCCAATAAATATATACCTAATTAATGAATCAATTAAGGCCAAGACTAAGACACAGATACCTGCTATCACACCTGGAATTATATATTTTACCAGAAGTCTTAGCCAGTGGAATGAAACAACAAAAATAAATAGGTGTAAAATTTAGAAAAAAATAGACAAAATTCTCATTTGCAGACACTACGATTTTCTTTGTGGATGATCCAAGAGACAATCACCATGGTTCACTAATAAGAGAATTTGATAGTTGCTAAATATCATAGCAATATACAAAACCAAAGGCATCCCTATGTATCACCAATAATCAATTAGAAAATGTAATGGAAGGAAAGATGCCATTCATGATAAGATAAAAAAATACAGGATTTCTAGAAAAAAATCTAATAAATATATGTGAAAACCTTTACGAAGAAAAGTTATAAAATATTAATCAAGAACATATAAGAAAACCTAAATTAATAGAGTAACATCATGTCATGTTCAGAGTTGGCAAGACTAAATATCATCAAGTCATCTATAAAATTCAATGCAATTCCAAAAGAAATCTCAATGGGAGATGCCATGGAATGTGAAAAGTGGATTCTAAAATTCATATGGAGGAGTAAAGGTCCAAGAATAACAACAACAACAACAAAAAAACGTTTTTGAAGAAGAAGAAGAAAGAAGAGGGACCTCCTTTAGCTTCTATGAGGACTTACAAAGACATAGTGATTGGGCAAAGTGATATTACAGCAAGTGTAGACGCATAGATGAGAGTAAGAAAAAGGAAATCCCGAAATAGATCTAAGCATAGGTGGAAATTGAGGGAGCATTAAAGTCGGAGGGGAAAGATCAGACTGTTCAACAAAAGGTGTTGAAATACGTGACCTTCCCTACGGAGACGCTAAATTAAATTCCTGCTTCATACTATACACAAAAGCCAATCCCAAATGGATTAAAGGATTCAAGTTCCGAGTGGAAAAACTAAAAATTTAGAACCAATAGAAGAAAAATATCTTTATGACCTCAGAGTCACGAGAGACTTTTCAAACAAAATGCTAAAGCAGATTGGTAAGTTTTATGACATAAAACACAAAAGCTTTTCTACTATATAAGCTATCCTGTACAGTTTACTGTATTGTGTAGTATACTATAGTATAAGTATGGTATATAACTCATATAGCACATAACTTACATAGTATAAGTTGTGCTATATAGCATAGTACACTATATAAGTTTATAGTATAAAAGTTGAAAGCTTTTATACTAGACACCATAAATAAAGGTAAAATACAATTGACGTGCTTAGAGAATATATTTGCAACATACAGAGCAAAAGATTGATGTCTTGCTCTCCAGTCTCCTGCCTCCTGGAAGCAGCTGATACAGGAAGGAATGTACCCCCCCTCACCTCACCCCTGCTCCCAAATAGAGCTGAGCAGGGGAAGGATGGGGATGGAGCTGGGAGGAAATAGGACTGTAATTAGCACAAATATGAACAGGTGTTCATTAAAGAGGAAGCCCAAATGGCTGCTAAGTACATGCAAAACCACTCAGCTGCACTAACAGCTAGGGAGTTAAAACTAGTTAAAATGACAAGGATATACCATTTCCTACTCATGAGATTGGGAAACAAGGACAAGTGGAACATTGTCAAGTGCTGGCTGTGGTGCTGCTGGGAGTGTAAACTGGTACAAACATTAAGGACAGTATTTTGCAATAATTAGTAAAATTGAAAATGTGCATGTCGTATTCTTACCAAAAATGTCTAACCTAGTAACCATGAGGAAACAGTAAGACAAATTGAAACTGAGGGGTATTCTGCAAGTCTACTGGCCTGGATTCAAAAGTGTGAATGTCATAAAAGACAAAAAAAAAAAAAAAAAAGATTGAGGAACTTTGTAGATTAAGGGAGACTGAAGAGGCACAACAGGTTGCCATGACAGGAAATGCAGCGCCTGATTCTTGTTTGGATTCTGAATTGGAAAAAAGCAAACAAATTGGATATAAAGGACCTTGGTGGGACAATAGGGAAAACTGGACATTAGACATTTTTAATGTATAGTAGATAATTGTGTTCTATCAATGTTAAATTTCTTGAGTGTTGTAAGTGTGTTAAGTTATGTAAGAGAATGTCTTGTCTGGATGACAGATTGCTCAATTACTTAGGATGAAGTGTGTGGGGGACTGCTCTTGGCCACACCAAGATATGTCTCTTTGGCATGAGGATTATTTGGGACAGGGAAGGAGGCTCTGAAGAGTGGAACTTGCTTGCCCTTTGTTAGGAGACATTTACATTGTAAAGGAAATCTCTGTGTGTAAAGGTCCCTCCCTCTCTGTACCAGGAAGAAGAGGGGGATGACTTTATCTCTAGAAACTCTTAATCAATACCAAAGGCAAGGACTTAAATCTGCATAATAATCTTATTCCTGTTTCTGGTAACCTCCTGTAACTGACTCCCCCCATCCCCAACATCCTCCTTTGTCTTTGGCTGGACATGATATTTAAGGTGAGGGCTTCAGCCATTTTGGCAAGTTGCTCAGTTTGCCTGAGCCTCCCATGTATATATTTTATAAAGCTTTGTTTAATTTTCTCCTGCTATTCTGTCTCATGTGAATTTAATTCCTTCTCTGGCCAGACGAACCCAGAGAGGGTAGAGGAAATGTCTTCCTCCCCTACAAGTGTCTGCAACTTACCCTCAAATGTGTGTAAGAGAGAAGTAAAGCAATTGTAGCAAAATGTTGGTGAGTTGAAGGATTTATGGGTGTTAATTGTTCTCATCTTGCAACTTTTCTGTAGATTTCAAAATTTTCAAAATAAAATTTTGGGAAAAAATGTGAATATTACTCAACATTGCCCTTTCCAATATATACCTTAGAATAAATCACTTCTATTGGGATGAACATGGATAGAGGGAACAAAGTAAGTTGCAAATGTTAAGTACACTCTCATTCCACTTGTGTAGAAATAGAAAGCAGGAAATAATGTTATATATTGTTTATGGATACACATCAATTTCATGATCTGGTTACCTGTGGGCAGAGAAGGAAGGAGCAGAGAAGGAAGGACAGAAGTAGGATGGGAGAGGGGACAATGAGAATTTCAATTTAACCTGTAAAGCTTTAATTTTTTTTTTTTTTTAAAGATTGGCATCTGTGCTAACATCTGTTGCTGATGAGGATTATTTTGGGCTGGTTACTTTTGAAAACTGCAGACAGGAAAGAGGCTCTGAAAAGTGGAATTTACTTGCCCTTTGTTAAGAGACATTTACAGGAGGTCTCCATCTGTGGGGGTGTCTCCCTCTCTGCACCAGGAAGGGGTGGGGGATGACCTTATCTCTAGAAACTCTTAAAGGGGACAGCAAGGACATCCTGACTTAATCTGATCTGATTCTTACCTAAAGTTATAGGAACCACTCAAGAACCAGACCCCACCTGCACTGATACCATTTTAACGACCTTTTTTTTTTACATAATCTTTCCTTTGTCTTGTAAAGAGATAACTCACATACCTATGCCTTAAATTTAGCCATACCTTCAACCCGTGTTTGAAGCTCTTACTGCCCATGGGTCCTGTCCCCATGCTATTCCATATTATTCTCTGAATAAAAGTGCACTATTGCCAGACGTTGAGAGTCCAAGAAATCTTTCTTTCGACTCCTTGACTCACCAAGCCCGCATCATTGCCAATCTATTTTTTTTCTTCTTCTCCCCAAATCCCCCCAGAACATAGTTGTATATTTTAGTGTGGGTCCTTCTAGTTGTGGCATGTGGGATGCCGCCCCAGCATGGCCTGATGAGTGGTGCCATGTCTGTGCCCAGGATCGGAGCCAGCGAAACACTGGGCTGCGGAAGCGGAGCGTGCGAACTTGACTACTCGGCCATGGGGCCAGCCCGTAAAGCTTTATTTCTTGAAAAAAAGAAAAAAAAACGAAAATCTGAAACCAAAGTGAAAGCTACTATGGACAAAAACGAAAAGAAAGAAAAATAAAAATTATTAATAGTGGTTATCTTGGGTAGATTATGGCAAAGGTTCACTTTTAACTTTACACATTTCTGGATTGTTTTTTAATGATTTTTTTGCTCCTCTCTGATCATGAGAAAAAAAAGATTTAATATCCATATTGTGTCAAGGACTATACCAATCAAATGAGGGGTTGCCAGTCTGAGTGAACGGAGTCCTAAGCTCGCCGGAGCGTCTGGTTAGCTGTGTCACCTTGGCCCATGCCCTGGACCCCCTGTCTGCACAGCCCTTGTCCCACAGTTAATGTCTATGTTGAACGGGATAAATCACGGTTTGTGCTTAGCCTCGTCCTGGTACACGGTAAGCGCCCCATGAATGTTAACGCCGCAATTATTATCAGCGGCCGCTGTTGCTATTACTCCCCAGCTGCCCTGGCTGGGCTGGGGGCCCTCTCCACGCTGGGCTGGGCTTCTGTGTCCCTGCACTTCTGCAGTGTTTCTGACAGCGTGCTCACTTGTCAGGTCTCCACCATTAAACTGAGCAAAGAGACCCCGATTCATCTCTGCACCCGGACCCTCTGCCCAGTGGCTGGCACACAGTAGGTTCTCAGGAAATAATTTTTGAATGAATGATACCGCCACACTTCTGGCCACTGGTCCCCACTCTCAGAATTCACCTCTAGAAGTCTATTTGCTTCCTGGATGGCTCCAATTCCTCCTCTGACCCCCTTCCTCCCCATCTGTTTTCCTGGGCATCCCATCCCCAGGCTCTGTGTTCATGCTCCTGTCTCAGCAAAGACTAGGAACCCCCAGGTACTCAAATGGTCAAGTTGCTTAGTAGGGTGTCAGGTCCTTAAGGAAGTTTGAGCTCAGGGCCGAGGTGGCAGTGATTGCTCCAGGCTGAGGGGATTAGCCAGGCCTTGTGAAGCCGGATGAGGCTGTGACCTGGATAATTCAGGTCTCTCATCCACCCCCACTGGAATTCTCTGGGTGGCTGCCCAGGCCCCTTTGCTGGAGAGCCAGCCCCAGGCTCGGAGAGTTTGCTGGACTTCCTGTGTCTGTGAAAGCAGCTGGGGGCTGAGCAGAGGAATGCCTGGCCGGGTCCAGGCAGAAGTTTCTCCTCACCATCTCCAGGCCTGTCTTCACCGCTCGCTTGCATTCTTGGCTTTAAGATTCTGGAGGCCAGGAGTCTGTTGGGATCTACACCCCATGGACCTCAATGTTGTGGCTGGTGGTGGGGAGCCAGCAGGGCCGGGGGCTCCAGGCTCTGCCCGATGAGGCTGCTCATGGGGGCAGGCCGCAGGAGCGGGAGCTGAGGCCAGGCCAAAGAGGTCAGTTCCGGGCTTGGGGGCTGCACAAAGCTGGAGCGGGAGAGACTGGAAAAGGGGGGGGGGGGGTGGTGTCTGGAGAGCAAAGCGGGGTCCCTGGGAAGGGAGGGCAAGGCACAGACCCTGTTGGAGGAGATCCCTCAGGCTGCTGGTGTCCTTTACTCATAACATATCAGACCTGGTGAGCTGTGTCGTTTTCAAGGAGGCAAGGCCACATCTCAAGGGAAGACGGGGGTGACCCGGAAGATGGAGGTGACCCAGAAGATGATCCCTGAAATTAGGGGCAAAGCTGGGCTGGGCTATTGATAAGGTTCGAGTTGGGACTTGTTATGTTAATCTGAGGCCCTGCCTGAATTTCTTTTTAACCCAAGTCACATGAAAATATTCATCTTTAGGAAAAGGAATTGTCAACATTCCCTAACCTTTTCTGAGCATCCTCTGTGCGGCAGGCACTTTGGGGCACGGAGAAAGAAACGCGGAGACGGGGAAGGTGCCATTCCAGGCCCTTATGCGGGGGTCTTTCTCTTCCCTTCCTCCATCTTTCTCTGGCACTCCCCTCCCTCAACTCCCAGGCCTCCCCTCTCTCTGGAAGGCAGGTTAGCCTCAGGCTAAGTATACGTGGGGCCTTGGGAGTCAAACTGATCAGGTTCAACTCAGAGCTTAGCCACTTACCAGCTGTATGACATGGGTGTGTTACTGTCTTCCTTTGAGCCTCAGTGTCCTAATGCACAAACTGCATGTGATAGTACTGCCTACATCATAGGACCACTTTAAGGATAAAATGGGATAAGCCACATAAAGAACTTAGCATGGTATCTGTGCTTAATAAGCATTAGCTATTTCTATTAGTCATTCAACACACCTTTTTTTTCTAGGACCCAATCTGTGCCATACAGTGTACAACTAGGTGCTGCCACGGCTAGGGATGAATGAGATGTCCTCAAGGATTCATTGTCTAGTTTGTTCATTCATTCATTGATTCAGTTAGGCAGTCAATAAATACATATGAAACCCTATGCTGGGCAGGGGAATGTCAAAAGACACACTCCCCGTCCCCAAGTTGCTCACAGTCTGGGGGGAGACACTGTAATAGAATATGTTTGATGCTGTGATGAGGGCGCTCACAGGATGCTGGGAGAACACGGAGGAGGGGAACCCATCCCGTTTCGGGTAGCGTGGTGGGTGCAGTAGAAGGCTTTTTGGCAAAGGGAGACCTAACTTTCTCCTTGATTCTCCAACTCACAGGCTTGCTCCTGCTCCAGGACCTTTGCACTGCTCTTCCCTCTGCCTGGAACATTCTCCCCCAGGATATCCCCACAGCCTGCTCCCTCACCTCCTTCATAGCTTTGCTCAAATGTCACCTCTGCAGTGCGAACTTTCCTGGCCACCCTGTTTGAACTGGCTGCTCCCACCATCAGCCCCCTCCCTCAACATGCACACGCACACGCACATGTGCACACACATGCACACACACATATGCACACACACACGCACATGCACACACCACTCCCATCCCCTCCCCTGCTTAATTTTTCTTCATAGCACTTAACACCACCCCTAAACTGTATATTTTATTTATTTGCTTGTCTATTTCTGTCTCCTCCCACCAGAATGCAGGGTCCATGCAGGCCACAAGGGTGGAGTTCTCATCTGTTTTGTTCATTGCTGTTTCCCCAGAAGACAGCCTGGCACAGAACAGGTGCTACCAAACAGCTATTGCATGACAAGCATGTTAAGTCTAGAAAGAGGAGTAGGAGCTGAGCAAGAGAAGAAAGGCCAGGGACTAGCAGGTGAAAAGGGAGTGAGGGGAGAGAGGGAGAGAGATGCAGCGCGTTTGGGGAACTCAAGGGCTGGCACAGGCCTCTTCCCAGGGACGCGCTGGGGAGTGGATGGTGTCTAAGGCAGGGCTGAGGACCTGGTGGCGGGGCCAGATCGCGAGGGGCCACGTGCCCGTGCGGGAGGCTGGTACCTCTGACTTTGGCAGCGTGTGATGTGTGCTGAAATGGAGGTTAGGAAGGTGGACCCAGGAACAGAGGAGGAAGCCGGGCACCCTGCCTGGCGGGTGTCAGGGAGGGCGGCTCAAAGGGGTGGCAGCTCGCCTTAGGCCCAAGGAGGGAGTTCAGACGTTGTTCTGGTGTCACGGGCATTCAGAGACCTGGTCTCGTTTCCCGCTCCTCACGGGCAGATGCTGGATGATAGACTGTGGAGTGCAGCGGCTGATGGAATCAGCTGTGTGTTCTTGGCGCCTCCCTAGGGCTCTGCCCGCAGGACTGGCTCCGGAAATGGCTGCTGGTTTGCTCTGGGATTGGAGGCAGGTGGAGTGGCCTGGAATCGACAGTGTTCTGGAACCCTGGATCTTGGATCTTGCCAAGCAGAGCAGTACCTGACCTAGGGTTTCTCCCCCCTCCAAGAAACAGGTGACAATACAGCATGGAGAAGCAAGGAGGCTCTCACCAGGTGAAAGAGAGGTCAAAGGGCATTCCAGGGGGAGGGAACAACAGACGCAAAGAGAGAAAGAAAGGCCGGTTTGGGGTATGTTTCTGAGAGTGAGCAGTTCAAGTGGTTTTTCAGATAAAACATAACGTGGACTTGTGATCAAGGAGGTGACTGGATTTGCATTTCCACCAACAGTCTCGGTGAAAGGCGGACTTGAGCCCGTTATTGAAAAATAGCTGTCACCTATGGGTGACCAGACTGAGACCAAGATCGGCCGAGCTGCGTGTCCCTTTAGAGCAAGCTGCCAACTTACAGAACAGCTGAAATCCAGCCAGGCTGCCACCCCCTCCCGCCCTAACTGGTCCACCCACCCAATCGTTCTTTTCGCCGCAGATAAGTATCGACCCCCAAATATGTACCAGGCTTTGTGCGGCTGCTGAGAGTAGGATGAAGAGCAGGACTGAGAGTTTCCTGCCCACTAGGGGTTGGGGTAGGAGACATAAATCATAAAAAGGTAAAGAAAGAAATTAGAGAGAGTTAAAGATGATGGTAAGTGCTACAAAGGAGAAACAGGAATGTGAGATTAACTGGGGGAGGAAGAGCTATCCTGAGTGGATGGTCAGGGAAGGCTTCCTGGAAGAGGTGCCATTTAAGATGAGACCTAATGCTAAGTATTAGTGTTCTACGCAGGGGGAGCAACCAATGCTAACGGCCTCAGTAGAAAAGCTTGGAATGTTCAAGAACAGGTTAACGTGAGAGCACACACTGTTACCAAATGTCGCACCGGGTGGGCCCCCCGGAGCTCATCCAGTCCATATCCCGCTCAGCAGATGTTGCTCTTTGCATCCTCCCTGAATGTGACTCGGGCATGAATGAATGTTGGGGAGGGGGGACCCGGAAGGCAGGGAGCACAGAATATTTGACAGCCCTCTCCAGGCCACAGAGAAATGGAAGGGCTCCTGATTTTTCTGTTTTTCTTTAAAAGTCCTGGTAGAATGTTAATTTTTTTCACACTTTTACAGACCTGTGAGCCCACGCTTCACAACTGGCATGACTGACTCCGTGTGCCCTCCGTGAGTCTCCCGTGTCCCCAAGGCTTCAAGAAAGCTCCTTTTCCCGAGAAGTCGAGCGGGGGCTTGTCCCACCCCTCAGCCTCCACCTCCCAGACCGAGTTTCTGTTTCTGAAAGTACCTCTGGGGACAGGAAACTCACCAGCCCCCAGACAGCTCGTCCTTTCAAGGACACTTGAGTTGCTAGAAAAAACTTTCCTGGGTGTAACCAAAATCTGACCCCTCAGAGGCCCGGCGCCTGGCGCTGCCCCCACAGTCTGGAGCCCCACAGCCCTTCAGAAACGTGGAGACGGAGGCTGGGCGCCCCAAGCCCCCTTCCAAACCCTAGGCAGCCCACATTCCCTCCATCCCACAGGCATCCCGTGACCCGGACAGCCCCGTTTTCCAGAAACCCTCCTAGAGTGGGGTTCAGGACCAGGCACCTGTCTGAGGGCAGGTGGGCTAGGAGGCCCCGTCCTGGGCCCCACACTCCTGCCACCACCGCCAAGACAGTGCTGCCCCTGTGACCTGACTGGTACCCGGCTTGGGGGTCACACGTGTGATTGCTGGGCTGTGTCGCCCCACCCTGTCCTTGTGCGTGTAAGTTTTGGGGGTCTGGGGCAGGAGATATTCAGTCTCTTTTTATTGAACTCCCATCTCCTGGCTGTTGATGGAGGTCACTCTGGGACCCCCTCCGGAGAAAAGGCCAAACTCCTTAGCCTGGCACCCAAGGCTCTTCGTGACCTACCCAGCTGTGTCCCTTCAGCCAGCCCTTCCTAAATTCCTACTAGACAGGTCAAGAAAGTCCCCTTTCTGAGAAATCAAGTCGGGGCATGTTCCACCTTCCGAGTATAAAAACAGCAAGCATTTATTGAACCCTTACTCTGTGCCAGCACAATTCTGAACACCTGCCATGTGTCAACTCAGAACGTGGGGATGAGGCAGGTCAAGTGATTAACTCCCTTATTCAGCTTGGAAAACTGAGGCTCAGAGCAGTTAAACAACTTGCCCAGGGTCACACAGCTAATAAGTGGTGGTTCCAGGTGGTAAGAGCATGGGCTCTTACCTGCCACGCATCCTGCCTCAATCAGTGGCGTGCGATTGTACATCTCTTTCCAACTCTGCAGTCAGTGACCTGTGTTAGTAGCATGACGTTGCCCGTGATGGGAGGGGTTACACTACAGAAATGGGCAAATGTTGAAAACCAGGGCTTTTTTTCTGCCTGGAGAGCCAGTTATTAAATATTTACTAGAAGACCCCTGCCGAACTCCCCACGTATCTCATCAATTTGTCGTTCCCTGAACGAGCCACTGTAATTGATGCATGCCCGTGAGGCTGGCGTAGGCTGCTCCTTCTACTTAAAATGTCCTTCCTCACATTCTTGCTCTGGTGAACACCCATCCACTCTTTTTTTTTTTTTTTTTCCAATTTTTAACTGTGGTAAAATACACAAACCCAAAATTTACCATCTTAACCATTTTATGTGTACAGTTCAATGGTATTAAATACATTTGTAATGTTGGACGACCATCACCACCATCCATCTCTATAACTCTTTTCATCTTATGAATAAAACTGAAACTCTATGCCCATTAAACACCAACTCCCCACTCCCTTCTCCTCCCAGCCCCTGGCAACCACCACTCTATTTTCTGTCTCTGATTTTGTCTACTCTGAGCACCTCATGTAAGTGGGACCAGACAGTATTTGTCTTTTCGTGGCTGGCTTATTTCACTTAGTGTAACGTCCTCAAGGTTCATCCAAGTCGTGGCGTGTGTAGCAGTTTCCTTCCTTTTTAGGGCTGAATAATATTCCACTGGATGGATAGATCATGTTTTGCTTATCCATTCTCCTGTTGCTGGACCCTTGGGCTGCTTCCACATTTTAGCTATTGCGAATAATGCTGCTATGAACACGGGTGTACAAATATCTCTTTGAGACTTTGCTTTCAATTCTTTTGGGCACATCCCCAGAAGTGAATTACTGGATCATATGGTAGTTCTACTTTTAATTTTTGAGGAGCCACCATACTGTTTTCCACAGCAACTGTACCATTTTCCATTCCCACCAACAGTGCACAAGGGTTCCAATTTCTCCAACCCACTCTTAGCAGGTGACTTCTCTTCCAGAAAGCCCTCAGTGATTCATGCTGGGATAGGGCCTCTAAAGTGCTTGCACAGTATTTACTCAGCAACCATTATGTCCTAGGTCTGAGCTCAGCACTTGAAACACAAATTTGCACAAGAGATGCTCTCTGCTCTCAAGGCGCCCACTCTCCCATTACTGATACACCTTGAGAGGCTCGGACTCAAGATTGAGTTCCATGGCGGGCCACTAGAGAGCCCTCCAGACAGAGAGCAATGGGGAGGGAGGTTGGGCATAAGGCAATAAGGAACGGTGAAGACTAGAGCAAAGCTAGACTCCTGTCCAGTCCACGGGGGCAGCTCCGGCTTCACTCCGGCCAGTCGTTGCCGTGTGGGAATCCAGAGCCAGGACTGCCAGATCTTTTAAAGAGAAGCCGGAAATTTGGATTCTGTCTGAGATCTCTTAACCTTTATACATTAGCAACTCACTCCATTTTCCTTTAGGGCGCTGTGTGGGACAAGCAAAGCGTTTCCAAGGGCTGCCTGTAGTCCCGGCCTGAAAGCTTAACCACAGCGCCAGTTCCACCCATCGAGCGAATATCGGGAATTATGAGCTGTAACTAACTCAGCTTTCACTTCTCCATTTTGTCTATAAGGAAATTGTGACACTTTGGGCAGATATCCTGTGAAAATCCCAATCATGCCTTTATCGGGTCTCAACCCCGGTGTGTAATGGAAAGAACATGGCCTTGGGTCACAGAGAGGTCAGGCTTAAGGTTCTGGGTCCAGCTTTACTAGCTGTGTGGCCTTGGGCTGTGAGCTGCCTGACGGCTGCCCCTCGGTTTCCTTACTCACGGAATGGGATCACGACGCCCCGTGAGGTTTTGGGAGGAGTAAAGATCACGAACACTGAACATGCCTTGTGCTTGTGGCACAGCAGATGCTCACTGAATACTGGGTCCCTCTTTCCCTCCTTCCTGAGCCATCAGCCTGTAATCCCCTCCAACGGGAAGTGCGAGAGTGGACCGTGTGTGTAATGAGTTCTATAACATTCCAGAGACGGGCAAGCTTCCTGTGGAAGAGGGATCACGGAGACTTCCTGGAGGAGGAGGACTCAGTGTAGACTTTCCGCCAGGAAGCCCAGGGCAATCCTGTTCTACGTGCCAGCCTCCTGGGGGGGCATTGAACCATTTGATGAGGCTGGGGTGTTTCAGCAGCTCGGGGTCTCAGGGCCAGAGAGCATCCGGTGTCTGCGGTTGCTCTCCGAGCCTGCACAAGACACAGAAGTGCCAGAGAACGAGCATGCCCATGGGAGCGTTCATTCATTCCATGGATATTTCTTGAGGACCTACCACGGGTCAGACCTTGTTCTAGGGGCTGGGGTCAGAAATGAATCGGAAGAATCCTGCCCTCAAGAGTCTCCCACTCTGCTGGGGGTGGAGGTTGTCAGGGTGTTTTAATTGCTGAAGTGTGATTGGCTGGATCCATGACCAGAGAGAGGGATGCTGGAGGGGCTGGGTTGTGGGGGAGACAGTGAGTTTAGTTCTGGGGTTCCTGGGGGACACTGAGCTAGAATATCAGGCAGCTGTTTGCACTTTATTTATTTAAACATATATTAAATTTTACAAATTAAAAATATATATTCAAATAAATATTATAATTAGGATTCAAATACCTGCCTGTTTAAATTTAATAATAATTCAAATTACATTTAACAATTATATTTGAAGGGTGGGCTGGGACAGTAGGGTGAGTATGAGGGTAGAGATGGAAGAGTCAAGTATTCACTCAACAAACCTTACTGAGCACCTTCTATGTGCCAAGTGTTGGGGGGAGAGAAATGAAGCAGACACAGTGCCCGCCTGGTGGAGCTCTCACTTTAGCAGAAAAGCGTAATAGTAATGATGTCTGTAGTGGTTCTGATTCACTGAGCGGCTACCGGGTGCCAGGCGCTGTGCTGAGCCGCTCTGCCTGCCTCATCTCATTGAGTTATCGCAATTATGAAACGAAGCTGATTCTACTATTCTCCTGTTTTACAGGTGATAAAATGGAGACCTGAAGAGGCCAGGTGACACGGAGTCAGAGGTGACACCTGGATTCGGATCCGGTTCTGTCTGACTTGAAGCTCAGGCTCTTCCACTTGACATTGTGCTTCCCCCTCATTCATTCGTTCATGAATTCAATCATTTGTTCACTCAGTATTACTGGTGAGTCAAAGCTAGTCCAGGCACCGCTCGGCTGGGCTAACTCCTGGACGTCTGCACAGAAATGAGACCGAAATCCCTGAACACGGAGGAGCTCACCGCGGGAGGGGTGAAGAGAAGGAGGGGCAGATCCCTTGAAAACACCTGCATTGGGGGGGCCAACAGAGAGGGGGATGAGCAGCAGGTGGGCAGAGGGCCGGGTGCGGCCTCTTGAAGACCAGAGGGAGGGAGAATCTTGAGAAGGAGGAGGTGGTCGGTGGGATGAGTGTCTGAGAGATGGAGAGCATGAAGCCCGAGCTTGGGCATCGCCAGGCTTGGCGGGGTGGGATGTCCTGAGAGCCGGCTCAGGGACGCAGCACCGGGCTCAGACGGAAGCGGAGGCTTGTCTGTCCAGAGATGGGGCTTTTAGAGAAAAGAGAAAACTGGATGAGGTCAGCAGAGGCAAGGGACGTTTTCCATCTCGGGGCTTCCGTGTGTTTGGTTTAGGATGGCGAGGTGTGTGTGTGCCCGTAGGCAGCAGAAGGAGCTGGCAGACAAAGAGAAATGAAAAGCAGAACACAGAGCACTTCCCCCAAAGCTGTTATTGCCCTGGACGTATTGTCTATTTCCGATGCCTTTATTGTCTGTTTCCTTGACCTGAAGGGAAGCTCATGGGGACCGGTCTCTGTCTAGGTCACAGGGGGTCCCCAGCAGAGTCAGGCATGCAGTAGACGCTCAATAAGTACTTCTTGTATTGAATCGAAATCACAGGCTTCTGCGGGGAGCCTGGTGGTTAGGTCCTGGGGAGAGACGGGTTCGTGAGGACCCGAAGGAGAGAGGGGCTTCTCTCTGATGCTGCCGCCAGGGCAGAGCGGGAGAGGAAAAGAAGTCAAGAGCAGTGAGAAGAGCGCATGTATGTGGGGGTCAGAGGGGTGGGGTAGGGATGGACAGAAGTGGAGAACGGAGCATAAGGACAATGGAGCTGCCGAGGTCCTCGCCAGAACCCTCTAGGAGGTTACTGATCATTTATTTATCAGCATTATTTTGCCACTGCTCTGTTACAAATGTGTTAATTCATTGAATCTTAACAACTGAGACACGCGAATTACAGTCACCCCTGAGGGATGTAGCTCGTAGGGGGAAGCCAGGATTTGGAGCTGATCCCGAGTCTGCAATTTTAACCCCGGAGCCGCCTGTCTCCCCACAGCCTAGTTCTATGCAGTACATTCCTCACCACCTCTGGGGCGTCAGGGGGTCTCACATTTCACAGGAACAGAGAAGCCTGGTGACTTGCCTGGGCTCACACAGCTGCTAAGTGACCCAGCAGGGACTCCAGCATGCTTCTCTCTAACTGCAAGCCTGGGGTTTTTCTCCTTCCCGAAGGAAGAAATGCAGGAATTCAGTAAGGAATCAGGTGCCAAAAAGGAGACGCCAGCAGGGTCTGGGGGACCACATTTTACAGCATCTTGAGAGTGGGGCTTTCCCAGGCTCCTGTGGGGCCCTTGCCTGGGAACAGGAGAGAGAGAGCTGAGGGCTGGCAGATCGGGAATAGGGGCAACGCTTCCAGTCTGGAGGGGATGCTGCCTGGCTGCCATGGCTGTTTCTGGGCTGAGGCCAGCAAGACAGGATGAAATGTGAGCAGGAGCCGGGGCTGGAGGACAGGACAAAGACCAGGCGTGGTGGGAGGGTGGGAGGCAGGCTGCCATGGGGGATTCCAGGTCTCTGGTCCCTGGTGGAGGAGAACCCTGGACCGTGGGTGGCCCCAGCCAGCCCGTCCCCAATGTCTCTCCTGAAGGCCACTCAGGTGCCATGCCGTGCTTCAGGAAATCACCATTTGAACACAGAGAGGATGAAGTCCCCAGGGGTCTGGAGTAGGGAGGTAGGGCTTCCCATGTGAGTTACCAGGAACCCCGCAGCAGGCCCACACAGGAGTGTGGGAGGAGGGCAGAGAGGCCCTAAAAGCAGGTGGGCCTCGGCCCGGCCACTCTCCAGCCTGAGGACAGAGAGAAGGTCTCGCTGGTGAGGAATCTCATTCGGGGACTGCTTTGCTGGGGAGTGTTGGGGGAGCAGGGCACGGAGAGGGGGCTGCAAGAGGAAACACCTGGCCACCTGGTGAGGGGAGCAGGGTACAGAGAGGGGGCTGCAAAAGGAAACAGCTGGCCACCTGGTGGGGGGAGCAGGGCACAGAGAGGCGCTGCGAGAGGAGACCCCTGGCCCCCATGTCTCCCCAACAGATGGAGGGGAGGTCTCAGCAGCGCCTTCTACGTGGTGGGGTTTGGTGCTGTTCATCCTTTCCAGTCCTGGGGGGTCTTGGGGGTTGCTGCATGTGTACATGGAAGACCTGCCCCTGCAGTGACCCGGCCACTCCCCAGCCTCCACGTTTTCGTGCTTCCTTCGGGCTGTCTGACTCCACTCTTCCCACCTCTCATTACTGCGGCCACTGCTCCACTCCAAAATTATCCGGCGGCTGCACTCATTGCCCTCTGTGGTTGCTTGATAAAAATAGCCAACCCCACATCCTTCTCCTGGGGGCCTGCTTTGGGCTCCATTGATGGCCATTGTCCTGGCCCCTGGGGGAGCTGCTTCAATGCGTCTGCCATGTTCTCTGTGAAACTTCTCTTGGACTCTTTCAGATCCCTTTGCACGGGGCCTCGTGCTGCTGCCTCACACCCACAGCCCGTGTCCCAGGGTGTCCTAAAATGCACCTGGGATTTTGGTTTTATTCAGGTATGATGAAGCCAACAGATTGGGAGATGATCGCCATTTAAAAGATAGTTTGTTACTCACAGTTTCCAAGAGACGGGGCACAGCACACCTTGCAGGGCCATGCGAGGAAGCACCAGGCTGATCAGGAGGCAGAAGAAGTGAGCGAAAGCATGGTCCAGAGTCTTTATTGTGTTTTCTGCAGGAAAGGCAAGGCGGTGCAGCGTGGATGGCTTAGGATTGGCTAGCTTGAATAATTTCAGTCGACTCTGGGCTATAGGGGTGGTCCCTAGGTTTCTGGTCCTTGTCCTTGAGTGACTTCGGGCAGGGGAAATGTTGGCTTGGAGTGTGAGAGTCAGATAAAGGAAGTGGCTGGGCACGTGAGTTTAGGATTGATTGGTTTGCATATGAAAGGCACAGCTCACAGGAGAGTCTTGCTATCTCTAGGCAGTCGCTAGTCGGGGGAGGGGCTGTCTCTTCCCAGCTCAGCAAGGCCCCCAAGATGTCAGAGCATCATAAAATATAGAAAACGAACAACATAGTTAACACAGAGGGGCTGCTCAGAGGCAGTGGAGTGGAGTCAGTCAAAGGAGTAGATTCTTAGTCCTGGGCTGAGGCCTTGGGCCACTCACTTCCCCATCCTGAGCCTCGATTTCCTCATCTGTGAATCAACAGCTGCTGTTCCCTCATTCGGCAAATGAGTGTTAAAGGCACAGACGCTGTGCCAGCAGGTGGAACGGTACCCACCTGCCAGGGTTGCTGGTGGGTTTAAAGAGACAGTGGACAGTGTCTGGCACATCGTAGGGGCCCAATACGTGGTAGCTGGTGTCTTCCTCCTGCTAGAGCTCCAGGAAGAAGCTGAGATCGATTGGCGTGGAAGGGCAGGGTCTAGGGCCATTTTCTTCAGCTGTTTAGAGCCCTCGGCGTGGAGGCCGTGGTGGACAGAACCCTCAGGAACGTTCTTGGAACTCGGAGGAGCTGCTGGACAAAGGATGGCATGGAGAGGCCAGCCCAGTGGTCAGGAGCCCTGGGGACTCAGAGATTGTGTGTTTGCAGCCAGGCATTGGGAGGTGCCAGGGGCTCGGGGCAGAAGAGACCACTGCACTCAGGGATCAGAGATGGCAGGGCACCGAAGGGGCCATCCCGGCAGACCATAGGCCAGCTGAGCAGCTCTGGATAAACCAGGACTTTGGGATCCAGAGAGCGAAGGGAAGCAGGCAGCTATCAGTAAGGAACCTCTGAGAGGCCAAGTTAGAATCAGATGCTGGCCCAAGACATATGGAATTTCCTCTGCTTTCAGGATGTGATTTTTTTGGAGTGAAGGCCAGTGATTCATGTGTTTGCCCAAGGCAGAGGCTGGGGAGGGAAGCTGGGGCCTCCAGGCCCCTCTGCTCACAAGACAGCACATCCCTCTGGTGGGAGTCTGTGTGGTGCATGAGGGTCACTGGGCTTGAACCCTGCCTCCACTTCTTACTAGCTGTGTGACTTCTGGAAGTTCCTTGAGCTCTCTGAGCCTCCATTTCTCCACTGGCAAAATGGGAACAATGATACCCACCTTTCAGAGCTGTCATGAGCACCCGGGTTCAACTTATTCTCTAGGTAGACACAGGCCCTGGGGCCCATGAAAATGTTAATTTTAAATTCTTTTAAAACCAGGAGAAAAAAACGAATATAGTAATGATGAATACATAATAATAACTGCAGCCTGGATTGTAATTGTTTTTATACCAACGCAGTTGTAAAATATAATTTCAAAAGAATTTGTTTTTGGAAGAAGGGGCCTATGAAAGCAAAAGTGCTTGAGGCCCAGAAGAGCCATGACAAGGCCCTGAAAGCCCCGTCAGGGGGTGGGGGCGGGCGCTGTTCGTGCTTCATTCCAGAGCGCATACTCAGCCGGCAGTATTCTCAGCGTCGGGAGAGGAGGCCGAGTCCACCCAGTTTATGCCCTCAGAACACGGGCCAGAAAGACATTCTTGAAAACAGGCCCTCAGCACCATAAAGGAGATAAAAGGAATACGAGACTTGGAACAATCTGTTTCTCTTCTGCACCCCCCGACCCGCTGTACCAGGCGCTCCCTTTGTCCCGTTTTCTTTTCTCCCTGTCAGGTCCTTGCATCCTTCACACAGGGCTGTGTGCAGGTTGTGTCAATTTCCATCCCTCGCTTCTTCCCCTAAATCTCCATTTAAGAATCCTGCCTATTTCTCTGGTTACTTTTGGCCATTTTTGTGGAGCATGAAACTGTGTTGGGGGCATTTGTGGTGAGAAGGTCCTTTCCCATCTCTACTGGGGACAATACCCCACAAATGCCCCTCTGCCCCCAGGCACCCTTTGGATCAACTCCTTGAGATTTCTGCCTCATCTTTTCTGGCTAGGGTTGCCCAGTTATTGCCTATCACTCGAGTGTGGGGCCTGGCGGGGGGAGCAGGGGTGGGATCTGAATGGGCCATGGGAGCATCTCCTGATAGACATGTTATGGGATGTGTTTTCTTTTCCAGAAGCCCAGAGATGAAGGACCTCCTCACGCTGGCTTGGTTCCTGGCTTGCAGTAAGTGCTTGCTCCACGACCTCTGAACTAACGACCTTCTACCCTGTAGGAGCAGTAGGGTAGTGGAAAGGAGACCAGTTTTTGAGGTCCTAGAGGCTTGAGTTTGAATCTCTGCTCTGCACTTATTGTGTAGACGTCAGCAAGAGCCTTCGCCTCTCTGAGCCTCTGTTTCTCATCTGTGACACAGGGTAGTATTCAGCCAACAGGTTGGGCTGTGGCAGGATGATAGGACATGCATGATGTGTGAAGGTTGAGCTATGTGGGCAGCATCCGCCGCTTGTGTGGGGGAAGTGGGAGAATTCCCCCACCCCCCGCCCGTTTTCCTTAAGGTTCTTATGGCTGGTCAAATAATTAAAAAGGCAGGTTAGCAGGAGAAAATCAAACAAAGTTTAATAGCAAGTATACATGGGAGAAACTCAGGAAAAACTGAGCAACTCAGGCATCTGCCGAGGTTGCCTGTTTCAGTATCTTCAGCTACAGACAAGGACGATGTCTGGAGTAGTGGTTTGGGGCTTCAAAGGGCAGGAAGGCAACCCACAGGGAAATGGAAAAGCAAATGTTTGGCAAATAGAACTTTGATAAGAGTGGGTTTAGCCAGGCTCCTCCCAGACTACCGGAACCAGAGATAACACAGAGTTATCTATGGCAAAGGCTTGTCCTGGGGACAGGCCTTGATTTTAAATTTCTTTCAGGCAGTTAGTGGGGAAAGGTCAAATGTTCTTCCTGAGTCTGAGCCTTTATTGTCTTAGCTCGAAATATTCCGCCTACCAGAGTGGCGCATCTTGGGGCGGCCTGCCCTGAACTCCATCAGTTCCATCCTCTGAACCTTTTCTGGAAGTTTCACATATAAAAAGCTGATCTGGGGGCTGTGGAGAGAAAAATCGAGTTAGTAGCTGAGTGGTAAGAAATCTGCAAAGAGAGAAAAGAACTTAGATTAGAATGAGGGTAAACAAGCAGAAAAGGACAAACCATAGCACAATTCCCCACACTCCATGAAACCAGTTCCTCAATCCTGGAAATAAGTCAGACCAATAAAATGTGTGAGCTTCGTTTATCTGATGGAAAACGTCAATCTTCTCTTTCAATAGATGTAAGTTAGATAATCCTTGCCCAGTCTGATTCACGTAAAAGTGACATTTTTCCCCGATGGTTGCACAGGGTTCTCCTTGCTGGGCAGTCAGTGTATCCAGAGCACGTTGACTCTGGAGCCCCACAGAGGCCGGGGTGCTCATCTCTGACTGGAATATTTTCACAGTTTGCGTGGTGGCGTTGAACTCTTGTTCCATCACCATGGAGAGATTTAAGATTGCCTTTTCCAATTCGTAATCTCCAAAGCTGGGGAATAAGACTCTCAATGCGGAAAAGAACTCGGAGCTGTGATACACAAGCGCATTCTGCTGCTTCCCCGACACTTGCAAATGTGGGAGGCAGATTTTTGACTCTGATGCCAAACAAAATAAGATAAAGCCAAAACAAAAACAAGCCCAGGATATAAATACTGCATTCCAAGTTTCCTGGGTCTTTCTCTAGGCTACCTACCCCACCTGCTGGCCCCTCCCAGCTGAAGGTAGCTGCTGGGGGAATGTTGGGGGGAGCCGGCTTTAGGCCTCACCTAACCATGTACACAGCCGCCGACAGGCTATCCCAGTCTTTGATGCCTTGCCAGATCCCTGGAGACCCCAGGAGGAGCGGAAGCCTAGTGCACGGGGAGAACCTCAGGGCCACTGTGAAACCCCGGGCAAGGTGCTTAACCCTCCAAGCTACAGTTTCTCAGTCTGCAAGATGAGGGAGCTGGCTTCAGTGATCTCTGAGGTCTGCTCTAGGCTTCTGTGCCTTATCTCGTACATGGCATTAGTTGCCTGGGAGGGAGGGGTGCATTGTCAGGACAGAGGGGGGCGCCTGTCTGCCTGCTTCATATGGATACCATGTTCATTATACCTAACATTTCTTGATCGCTTACTGTGTGTCTGTCACTGTGCATCTGTCACTGTGCTCAAAATTTACTTACCTTATTTTAACACTCATGACAACTCCAAGAGGTAGGTGTTCATTGTAGGTGCCTGTTTTGCAGATGAGGAAACTGAGGCTCAGAGAGATTAAGTGACCTATTCAACACCTTACTGTGAATCAACGACAGAGTCAGGATTTGAACCCAGGCCTGCTCCCTCTCCAAGTCCAAACTTTTAACCGCTCCTCCATACTGCTTGCGCTCACCTTTCTTGTTCCTCTCCCACTAATGGGAAGAGTGAAAAAGAGACACCTGGGTCCCTCCAAGCCCCAGCGTGGGAGAAAGGGCAGGAGCATGCTGGGGAAGTGGCCAGGAGCAGCCGTGCCTGGGTTTCATCTGGGGACGTGTGCTGTCTTTCAGGTGTGCCTGCTGTGCCAGGGAGCTTGCTGGACCTGAGGTCAATGATTGAGAAGGTGACTGGAAAGACCGCCCTGACCAACTATGGCTTCTACGGCTGTTATTGTGGCTGGGGCGGTCGAGGGACCCCCAAAGATGGTACCGACTGGTGAGCTGATTATCATAACGGCGCTTTATGCTCCAGGCTCTGCACCCACATTATCTCATTTAATTCTATGTTGATGCTGGTAGATGAGCATCAAAGCCCCATTTTTCTACAAAACTGAGCTTCAGAGAGGTTAACTGACTTGCCCAGGATATATCTAGTAACCCCCAAATCTCAGTGGCCTAATATATCCATTGGTCTGTTGCTACATCATAAATCATCTTAAAACGTAGAGGCTTAAAGTGACGATGACCATATGTTTTGCGAAGAATCTGCCATTTGGGCAGGGCTTAATGGTGTTGATGCATAGAATCAATAATTATTCTGCAGTACAGAAAAAAGAGAGTTTTAATTGAGCCTAAACCGAGGACTATAGCCCAGGAGCTGCAGCCTTCAAAGGAAGAAAATGCTCCACAGAAGAATGATCAGCAGCTATACACAATTTTCAAACAAAGAAACTGACATCAAGCATGACAGGGATACATTCTTTCAAGGGTTCAAGGGGATATTTTGTTACAGATTAGCATACATGGCGGGTCAACATGACCCTGGCACCTTGGGAATGACTTATCTGGGGTCATAAGAAGGGAGGCATTAACTGCTATCTTCAAAGGGCCCATTCTTTACTCCAGGGTAATGATTAAAGCAGATGGACAATGTAGGTTTGAAAGGACGTCAGTCAGGCTTCTTTGGTTTACTTAAAATTTAGCTCAAATCAGGTTTAACCCAGAATGGCGTCCCCATACACCTCAGGATGTAAAAATGTCTTATATCCGTGGGACGGCTTGTCTCTGCTCTGCCTGGTTTCAGCTTGGGCAGCTCGACTGAGGCTGGATTATCCACTTTCCAGCTGGCTCACTCCAATGGCTGGCAAATTGTCGCTGTCTGCGGGCTGGCAGCTCACATGAGGCTGTGGCCTGGGGGCCTCAGTTCCTCTCACTCAGGCCCCTCCAAGGCTGTTTGGACCTCCTCACAGCACGGTGACTCTTGGGTTCCAGGAGTGAGTGTCCCAAGACGGCAAGACAAAAAGAGTATGGCATTTTTATGATCTGGCCTCACAAGTTCCATGGTGTTGCTTCCCGTGTCCTCTTGGTCCAGGCAGTCACAAAGGGTTTAAGAGGGAGGGGACCTAGACCCCAGCTCTTGATTGGGAAGTATCCAAATTCTAGAAGAACATGTGAAATGGGAGAGATGGAAGATTGCTGGGAAAGAGTTGCCCTGAGCTCACATCTGTTGCCAATCTTCCTCTCTGCCTCTCTTTTCTTTTTTCCTTCCCCAAAGCCCCAGTGCATAGTTGTATATTCTGGTTGTAGGTTCTTGTAGTTCTTCTGTGTGAGCTGCTGCCACAGCATGGCTACTGACAGACGAGTGGTGTGGTTCCACGCCTGGGAACTGAACCCAGGCTGCTGAAGCGGAGCGCACTGAACTTTAACCACTAGGCCATTGGGCCTGGCTCCCAGAAGATTATTTTTGTTCACGTAACAGTTCAATTTGAATCATATGTTGACTCTGGGACTCAGGTTCCTTCCATCTTGTGGCTCTGCCATCCCTATGGCCTCAGAGCCTCCTGCTGAGAGATGGAGAAAGAGAGAAAGCGGAGGATAGTGTGGGAGGTTTTTATGGGTCTGTCTGGAAGTGGTGTATATCACTTCTGCCCACATTCTTAGGGGAGCCTAGTCATGTGACCACATGTACCTGCAAGGGATGCTGGGAAATGTAGTCTTGCTGTGAGCCCAGGAGGAAAAAGTGGGTCAGTGAACTGCTAGCTAGTGGCAAAGCAGGGTAGTACTCAGCCATATTATTAGATTCTTTCTCTGCCAGATCACACCCCCCAAGATGGCCTCTGCCCCTCCCACTCAGGATGGAAGTGTCTTGTGTTGACAGGTGCTGTTGGGTGCATGACCATTGCTATGGGCAGCTGGAGGAGAAAGGCTGCCACATCCGGATGCAGTCCTACAAATATAGATTCACACGGGGCCTGGTCACCTGTGGTAAGGCTGGGGCTTCCCATTCAGGCCACTGGAAGAGGCTGGGTCTCTGCTGGCTCTGAGGTCAGCTGCCCCTAAGGGTCAGCCAGCCTGTATCTTGTTGGGGGGCAGAGCTGGGGGCAAGAGGGACAGGATTACTGCAGGTGTATCTGACTTCCAGGGGAAGGGCTGAAACATTTTAGACTGAGCAGTCTCAGTGCCAGGTGCTTTGCATACCTCCTTTTACTTGTTCTCCCAAAATACCCTGTGGGGTAGGCTTGGTCTGTCCATTTTACAGATGAGGAAACAGAGACTCAAAGGCTTGCCAGTGCACACAGCTAGAATTGGGATTCAAGCTCAGGTCCATCTGAGTTCAAAGCTGTCTCCTCTCCGAGAACTGGTGTTCCTCTGGAGCAAAGGCCGTCTCTACCATCAGACTGGGAACTCCCAAGGGGAGGGAATGTGTCCTTCGTCAGACTAGGAACTCCTTGAGGATAGCAGCTGTGTCTCCCTGGGCTGAGATGCAACCCACCTGCCCGCCCCCCGGGCAGCTGTGCCTCTTCCATCAGATTCTGCATCCCCCGGTGTAGAAGCTGTGCCTCCCTCGTCAGACTGAGAGCTTCCTTGGAGCAGGAAGCAGGCCGGGGAAGCTGCTCAGTCTTGAAGCAAGTCCTGACAGAAGCAAGCTGGGAGGCAGTGTCTTGGAGCATGTCTGCCGTTCCTGACTCTGCGTTTTGTGTCCTGTTTGCAGAGCTTGGCCCCTTGTGCCAGGTGCAGCTCTGTGCCTGTGACCGGAAGCTTGTCTACTGCCTGAGGAGGAACCTGTGGAGCTACAACCCTCGTTACCAATACTTTCCCAACATCCTCTGCACCTAGTCGCCCCAGGGAGCCCCTCCCACACCAAGACTCCCTCCCTTCTCCTCCAGCACAGAGCTCACCGACTCTGCTGGGTTCCTGAGACAGGCCCCCAGGTCTCAGACCTCATCCTTTCTCAGTGGTCCACCAGGTTGGGAGGAGCCCCACGGCCACACTTCACCCTCCAGAGTCCCAGCAGAGTGACTCTGGTTAGAGGACTTGGTAAGGTCAGTGTCCCCAGCCTCCACTTGTGAGGTCAGCCCCCTGGTGCCGAGAGCTCGCGCCTGACTCCAGGCCAGCTGTGTTTCTCCTCGCCCCTGAAGACGCGCCCCTTTTCCAGAAGGAAGACTTTCCCGGGATGCACTCACATTTCAGTTTCTGCAGTCGCCTTATCACTGCCACCCTCTAGAGAATTTTTACTCAAGTAGAAGCAAAATTGACTCCATAATCTGCCATATAGATATTAAACTCCTTCTCTAGACGAATAGAAAGCACACAGGCATTTTCCTCTGCTGTGGGGGTTGCCTGTGCTTTTTCTCTGCCACTATGGCACTAAACCCAAGGTTAACCACGTTCTTTCAGATGTAGAAGTTGCCGATTAGCAAATAAAAGATTTTCTGGGATGAGATTCAAGCCTTCTTTGGGGCTCGTCTCCCTAGCCTTGGGGGTCCTCTCCAGCAAAGCCCTGCAACTCATTCTTCCTCGAGGGGGTGAGGAGAAGATGGCTGGCAATTAGGACAGCAGCCTGGGGTTCCAGGCCAGAGGGGCTCATTCAAATTCTGGCTTTGGCTTCTCAGCTGTGTGGGCCCAGGCCCACTACAGAACCTCTCTGACTTTGAGTCTTTTTAAAAAAGAAACTAATGTTTCTTGCAATGTAAAATGGGGATGTTGAAGCCACCTTGATGCTGACACGGAGACGCTGAGGTTCTGGGATTTCACAGAGAGGACATTTCAAAAAGAAAAAAAAAAGGGTTCATCTATGGGGTTTATTTTTACCAAGTAAGGACATTTAAAAACCCAACACATCTCTCCATTCATAAAAGAAAGGGCCTTCTAATACCAAGACTGAAGGAAGACAGGACACGCTCCAAAGCGGAGGGGAGTCCTTTCCAAGAAAGGACCTGTGGCTTCCTTATGCTGACAAACCCGAAAATAACCACATGATAAATGGGATCTTTTTTTAAAACCTCCAATGTTGAACATTTTCAGAATAAAATTTAATTTTTTAAGATTACCCTGAATGTACTGGTGTTTTAGAAAAGTTTGATATGGACTCATGTCTATCGTTGACAATGCAACACAGAATGGGACCCAAATGTCCACTCGACTCATAAAACTTGTTTGACCAAAGCCATTTCCCAATCCATTTTTAAGTAGGCATGTGGAGGAAAGCGGATGCTTCACTCAATGCCATTTCTCTTCCGTTGTGACGTTCTGGATGACGGAGGAGAGACCCTGGCCCAGGATTCTCCCTCCCCTTCAGGGTCAGTTGGCAGGCAGGTGGGGTCTTGTTGGTAGTTCTGTGCGAGGTGGCTGTGGGCAGCCTTTCTTACTGGGATCCCAGTATTTAGGCATCTGTGGGTGGGGCACGCAGTGAGGTTATGAAAGCAACACCACAGGCTGACATGGGTTTGAGCCGGAAGGACCCATGGAGAAACTTCATTTATCTACCAGGAAATTGAGGCCCAGAGAGGTTAGGAGACTTTCCCAAAGTGACACAGCACATCAATAGCAGAAGCAGGGTTAGACCTCAGATCTTGGTCCTGAACCCTGGGCTCTGGCCACTATCCCACTGTCTTCAACTCCAGCCCATGAAGAGAGAAAATGGAACCTGGAGTGGTTCAGGGACTCACCCACCTTGAGGGTTCTCAGGAGGATCCCTGAATTCCGCCCGACGGCCCGCTCCATTTCTCCTCTGCTCTGACGGCCTCTTGGGATTCCAGAGTCCGTCCTTGGGTGGTTAGTCTGGCTGGGACTCTGGGCTTCATCGTCAGGAGAGGGGACCCCCACTGAGGTCTCCACAGCTGCTGTCCTAGGCCCGCTCTCACTGCAGTGGACAGCTCTGGGGAAATGCTGAGGCCGAGAGATCACCAAAACCTGGGAAGAGGCGGGCTCCCTGACTGCTTTCTTCGACCATCTCTTGGCTGGGAGAAGAACCATCAGGGAGGGCCTCCCTCTCAAAATCGCATGACCCCCCTTTCAAGGGGGATACTGAAGTGTACAGACCAGACCGTAACTGCCTCCTGGATGGGTCTTTATGTAAGAGCAGGCAGATAACAGACACATAGACACTAACGGACAGGGTGCCTTGTAAATACAGGCCCTTCACTGGTGGTTGAAATTGGGCTTTGGATACAAATGGGACCCCCCCCAAACACACATAAAATCATGTGTATGAGCATGTGTACATTTGGGAGGGGGTTACTCATAGCTGTTACCAACTGGAAAGGCGCCAGAGTAAAACCCACTGGTTGTAGAGTCCCTTCTCTGTGCTGGACACCACATACACAATATCATCCACCCTATGGGGCAGGTGTTCTCATCCTCATGTTAGGGGTGGCACCTGAAACTCAGAGAAGTCAAGTGTTTTGCCTGAGACCACACAGGTAAGACAGACAGGCGGGGTGGACGCAGTGTGCTTGATTCGAGATCTGGGCTGAGGCTGTAGGATGGATGGTGTTCCATCAGGGAGACTTGGAGCCTGGCCAGGCGTGGGACAGGCACGGGGGGAAAATGCATTTGGTTTGGTTCAGGGCAAAGCAAGGTAGATGTAGATTCTGTCACCTTAGCTAAGCTGGAACAACACGTCCCAGAATTCCTTTTCCTGCAGAGTTCTGGGTTAGCAGAGGCCAAAAGAAATCTTTTGTGTGAGGCCTGGAAGGCGGAAGTGAAGCAGCAGCGTGTTCTTTTTACGTTGGAAGGCAGTGGCTCAGGTGTGTCGTCACAGATCTGCTGGCTCCCCTCGCAGGTGCGAGCCTGCTGGGTCTCCTCTTTTGTCTTCTCCAACTCTCGGGCCAGGTGTGAGCTTAGCTTTGTAAGTAAGGGAGCCAGCTTGTCCCGCTAGACATACCCAACATCAAGGTCGGGGCTGGGGGAGGTGAGAGCCCACATGGATTCTAGTCCATCCTTTTCAGTTCCACTCCTCCTTGCAGGTTCCAATTTGTCCTACTTCACATCCTTCTTCCCTCTTCAGACCGTCTGCCCTAGGAGCTTCAGGCTGTAGCTCCAGGCACAGGAGAAACAGCATCCTGCAGAGTACTAAACCAGCTGCCACATCCGTGCAGGGTCAAATCCCTACAATAAAGGTGTCGTGTTGTAGAAAGAAGTCTTCTCAACGGAGGGTGGAGAGGCTGGAGCACCCCTTGGAGGAGCTGGAACAGGGTAAGAGAGAACTTCGCTTCCTGCCCTAAAGACTGTGGCCGCTGCCACGGGAGGCTCCGCGAGGGAAGGAGTGGGGGAGGGTGTCGAGTGACCGTGGGATCACCCAGGACTCCCACGGGCCCTTGCAGCCTAGAGGGAAGCCCTCTAGTCGCGCAAAAGCTTTCACACAGGGTGACCTTATCAAATCAAGACCCCAGGAGACCAGACAGTGAGAGCTGACAGAGAAATCCCAGAGTGCATGCAGGAAAAATCACCGCTCCCCCCACCGCCCCCGCTGCTCCACTGCCTCGGATCTCAGCTGAAAGCAGAGGGCTCAGGATATGAGGCTCTTGACCCCCACCCAGTGGCAATAGGCGGTAACTGCAACCGAATAATATCAGAATGCGTTAAGACCCGACCTTCCAACATCACACACTACATCAAATCTCCAGACCAGAGAGAAAATGACAAGCACCCAGAACTCAGTCCTGAGGACACAGAAATATGTAAACTAAATGACAATTAATTCAAAATAGCTGTCATCAAAAAACTCAGTGAGGTAAAAGAGAATATAGAGAAACGATTCAACAAGTTCAACAGCTCCTTCACAAAAGAGATCGAAACTGTAGAGAAGAATCAATCAGAAATATTAGAGATGAAAGACACAATGGAAGAGAGAAAACAAAATACGGCTTCCCTGAATGCTCGAGTGGACAGCACAGAGGAGCGAATCAGCATGATCGAAGATAGAAATGTTGAAATGCTCCAGACAGAGGAGGAGCGAGAACTAAGACTAAAAGGAAGTGAAGAAAGCCCCCGAGAAATACCCGACTCAATGAGGAAATGCAACTTAAGAATTATAGGTATTCAAGAAGGAGAAGAGAAGGAGCATGGAGCAGAAAGCATGTTCAAAGAAACAATAGCAGAGAACTTCCCAAAATCTAGGGAGAGAGGGGGAAATCTATGTGGAAGAGGCTTCCAGATCTCCTAGATTTGTCTATGTAAAAAGACCTACTTCTAGGCATATAGAAGTAAAACTGGCAAAAATGAACGACAAAGGAAGAATATTAATGCAGCAAGGCAGAAGAAAATAACCCACAAAGGAACCCCATCAGGCTTTCAGCAGATTTCTCTGCAGAAACCATACAAGCTAGGAGAGAATGGAATGACACATTCAAATCTTTAAAAGACAAAAATCTTCAGGCCAGAATACTCTATCCAGCAAAAATATCCTTCAGATATGATGGAGAAATTAAAACTTTACCAGACAAGCAAAAGCTAAGGGACTTTGTAGCCCACGAGACCCTCCCTACAAGAAATCCTCAAGAAGGCCCTCATACCTGAAAAAAAAAAGGGGGGAGAAAGGGGTCACAAAATACAGAATAAGGAAATAAATAGGTAGACAGAATCAGAATAGGATAGCAAATATTCAACTATAGCATTAGGTTAGAGGGAAGGAAAACACCAAAAACAAAGATAATCCTGCCATTTTTAACCACAAACTCACAACACAAGATGGAATAAGACATGAGAAAAACAACTTAGGAGGGGAGGAGGAAAGGGACTGAATTAGTTTAGACTAAGGAAATAAGATGCCATCAGAAAATGGACTATCTTATACACGAGATTCTGAAAACAAACCTCAGGGTAACCACTAAACAAAAAAGCAGAACAGACACACAAAGAATAAATAAGGAGAAAACAAAGAAACACATCATAAAGAACTATATAATTCAATGGGTAGACCAAAACACATGGGACGAGAAACAAAGGAAATGCAGGAAAATCGGAAAATGAGTGATAAAATGACAGCATTAAGCCCTCATACATCAACAATCACCCTAAATATAAATGGAGTGAACTCTCCAATAAAAAGACACACAGTGGCAAGATGGATTAAAGAGCAAGATCCAATCTGCTGCCTCCAGGAAACACATCTCAGCGCCAATGAAAAACACAGGCTCAGAGTGAAGGGGTGGAAGATGATACTCCAAGCTAATGGCAAACAAGAGAAAGCAGGTGTCGCAACACTTATATCAGACAACGTAGACTTCAAGATAAGACAGGTAAAGAGAGACAAAGAGGGGCAGTATATAGTGATCAAAGGGACATTCCATCAAGAGGAAATAACGCTTATAAATATCTATGCATCCAACATAGGAGCACCAAAGTTCATAAAGAAACTACTAACAAACCTAAAAGAAGATATTAATAATAACACAATAATAGTAGGGGACTTCAACACTCCACTCGCATCAATGGACAG